GGTAGTGAGATATCATTACTGTTGTACATTTCATTTGTGTCTCATTATTAGGAGAAGAAGATTCTATCTATTGATAGGCATTTCCCTGGTATGTATATTGACATTACTGGCAGTCGTGGTCAGGAAGTTTTTAAAGTTGGTTTTGGTCACACTCGTTTATTTTTTCCTGAGGAATTTGGTGTTGTACTTCATGTTGAGGAATATGCTAAACAGCGACAAGAAGCTCGTGCTCTTAAGTGGGAATTAGAAGAAGCTAAGAAATATGGTTTGAGTTTGGAAGAATATCGATCTCAGGAAAAATACATTGAGAAAGCTAAGTTAGCTAACAAGGACAACGAACAAGAGAACCATCCCTGGCAAACAGGAGGAGGGCAGGAAGAGGAAGGAGCTGCTGCTGGAGTTGGGCCCTTTGGTAAGAATAAAGAAAGTGAAAAGGATAAGATGTCAGAGGCTATAATGCACGTATCAACTAGTGAGCCACTCAGTGAAGGAAGAAGACAACAAGAAGAACGAGCATATGAACTAGCAAGACAACAGAGTCAACATGGTGGTGGTGATCCAACTGGATATGAAGTTATTAAAAGAGGAGAAGTTAAGCCTACAGACGACAACTACTCAGATGTTGAACCTTATCATACTGTTCCTGAAGATCATCAACAAGATGTCAGCCCTGTTTCTCAAGGATCACAAAAACCGTCACTAAAAGCTCATCATGAAGAAGGATACAAGAGCCTTTCTTCATACAATACTCATCATCCATACTCTCCTAATCTTCGTCATTCTCCTGATCCTCCTGCTGATTATCGTGGTGGTAATCATCAAGGTTATAATTGTGATAATCAATATAGGGGTCATCATGATCCTCCTGGTCATCATGATCGCCGTGACCCTTCTCATGATCCTCATCATCAGTTCACTGTTGGGTCAATGGTGCGTGTGGTTGCCATACAAAGAGGTGATCCATTGTATGGTGTAGTACAGTGGATAGGGATACTACCTGACTACCCTGGAACAATAGCTGGAGTGGAATTGGTAATTATAATGTGTATTGTAATATGTTGACAATATGTTTATAATTTTATAGGAAAAAACAATAAATGGTGGTACTGATGGTACACGGGGTGGAAGAAGATTCTTTACTTGCCCTTATGGTAAAGGTTACTTAAATTTTCATTTTTAGTGATTAAAGATTCCAATAAAGAAGAGATGATTAAACTAAAAGAAGAAATCCATCAACTTCAGAGATCAATTGAAAATCTTCAGTTAAAGAAAGACACTCAGCAAAGGACAGCCAAACAGCAAGCAGAGAGAGAAAAAGAACAATGGAAGAATGACAAACAGCAGCTTCTGGAAGAACAAGAACATTTAAGGGAAGAAATTAAAGAAAAACTAGAAACAGACAAAGAGAGATTAAGAGAGGAAAATGGCCAGTTAAAATATGAAATTGAGCGCTTAAGAAGAGAGATCATTGACCTTAGAGAAGCTCATCGTGAGCTGCAAGAAGAAACAGAAAAGAAGGAGCAAGTCCAGGCACAGCTGCAGAGCCAAGTCGGTCTTTTCTCAATTGAAAACATGAGATTGAAAGGTCAAGTGAAGCAGCTAGAAGAAATCAGTGCTACCGATATCAAGTACTGGGAGGTGAGCTATAAGCAAGTATTGACGAACAAGGACACACTTGGATCAGGAGGTTGGGGTAAAGTTGAAGTGGGTCTGTTGCATGGTCAGAAAGTTGCCGTGAAGATGCTCCACTCTGATATAAAGTCTCCATATTACAACCAGCTGGTTCGCCGTGAGATAAGCATGTTAGCTAAAGTACGTCATCCAAACCTTCTCTTGTTTATTGCCGGAGTCTTGGACCATCCTTCAGGGAGTCCTATTATCATCACTGAGCCTACTGGATACCTCATTACGTAAAGCTTACACTGATCGCCTGATAGGCAGTAATAGAGTAAGGATATCTATAATGAGAGATGTAGCAGCTGCTCTTAATTACATTCACCGCCAAAAGGAGAGCATCATTCATCGTGATGTGAGCAGTGCTAATGTCCTCCTTGAGTCCAGAGGAGAAGGGAAACTGGAGGCTAAGCTCTCTGATTTCGGTTCCGCTAATCTCGTTCAATT